CCCAGCATTCTCCGCTTTCTATAACCGCCATAAGAAAAGAAATCAAATTCCAATACCACAAAAACAGCAAACCCTAATTGCAATGAAAAACAAAACTACAGCAGCAGCAATAGCAGAGAGTCAACCTGAAGACAGGTCTCGATATCACTCTCGATATCGGCATAGAGGCGAGCAAATGCGTCGTCGCCGGAGATGTTGGAGTCCTTTTGCTTCTCGACGTCGTACTTGTCGTACTTCTTACAGATCGCGTCGACGCGGGTGAGAAGGTCGATCACAGTCATGTTTGCCCCTCAGTTCTCGGATCGAATCCCTTTCGCTCTCAGATCAGGAAAGGCCGCGGAGGTGCATAGACGGAGTTTTATCTACAGCGCCGGCGATATTTGGAAAGGAAAACGGAGTTTATTCGAAATGCTTTCGAATACAGGCTGGATAAGTAAATGACACAGTAACAATTTGAGTAAAACTAAAGTCTAGTTGATACAGTTAACACCAGTAAAACTCAAGTCATGCAAAGTTACCACTTGCAAAAAAAATCTCGATAATAAAATACGGAGTATTAATAAAAGGGAAAATGACTAGTTTGGTCTCAGAGTTATAATTGTAGTGATAATTGAATTGTGTCCCTGTATTATTACTGTATCTATTTTTAGTCCTTCATTATGAGAAAAGTGGCAAGTTTAGTTCCCGACGCGAGTAATGTGTTGTCAAAGTTAATTCTAAGGGTAAAGAAGTAAATTTCTTAATAAAACTTGTAAACTTAGCCAAAATACTTTCCCCACATCAACAAAAGCGCTAAGTTGCTTATATAATCAACGAAGAAGTCCTACTCCTATTTTTCTAAAAATCAAATTTCAATATTTTAATTCTGTTTATAAAAAATCAACTTAAATTACAATTTTTTGACAAATACAAAAATTTGCTCCATAACATAGACAAGTTTGGTGTCTTTTTCTTCGATTAGCATAACTCCATGACATTTTGATGAGTAATAAATCATGCCATTTACATCAAAAATTATCCCCAAATTGAAGGAAAGACGAAGTACCACAACTAAGAGATGACATCCTATAATTAATGGCTAAATTAGTTCATCAATACGGAGAATATTGATTATTTATTTAAACATATAAACTAGATAAATAACTTACCTGTGAATTTCGCAGCTTGAAAGTGAACGAATTCGAGACTTCAGAGTTTTGGGAAGAAAAAGACATTGGATTATAGGTATAAGAAGAAAAGAATGATTGTTGCGCAATGAGTTTCAACATAAGAAGGGGATTATAATTTGAAATACATATCTTACCCCTCTATTATTAAATTGTTTTTAAATTTTCTGTTAGCTGCAGACAAAATATTAACGCTAGGGACCAAACTCGCCACTTCGCTCATAAGTGAGGGACTAAACTCATATACGACCATAACTTAGGGAATGAGTCAGAACTTGGTTATTACTCAGGGCCAAATATGGCGCTGCACGGTAGCTTTACGCCAAAATGGTGGAGGCCATTTTAATTTTATCTTTGCCCCTTGTCTTTTTTTTTATTAATTTCTTATATATATATATATATATATATATATATATATATATATATATATATATATATATATATATATATATATATATATATATATATATATCATTTGAAATATCTCATAAAGACGATTAAAACAAACCTAACATTATATATAGATTAATTAAAAATTAAAGTACATTTGGGGTCCTCTAGTCACGATTTGCAATAGTCAAGGGACCGACATGTTTTTGGGATAAACGTGTATTACATGATATAATGACATCTTGCATAATGCACAATATGATAATTGAAGATGAACGTGATGAGCAAGCGGCTATACAAAGTTGGAGAGAAGCACTAGCTCTTGAAGTTGATATACGTAGAGATGAAGCTACTCTATTTCAAGAATTTCTTACTCGACATAAACAAATAAAAGATAGAGAAACGCATTATTCACTTCGTAATGCATTGATTGAGCATTTGTGGAAACAATATGATAATTTTAAAAATTAAATATAATAATTGTTATATGTTATATTATTGCATGCGAAATAAAAATATTATTTGCATACCAATTAAATTTTATATTAATAAAACTGCAGTAAAAAATTAAAGTATTAAGTTATGAGAAAACAAATTATTTTAATGTAGAAATAGAATTTAGTGTAATGCATGGGTTGGAGATAATAAAATTTGGTGTAAGAATATATTGGAAATATTTATTTTAATGTAAAATTTGGTGCAAAATTTAGTGTAATGGATTAAAAATGACCTTAATCTTTCTGCTAGCGCCATTCCCTTTCTTTCCTTATGCTCCTAGCACGTTTCTTTTTATTTCATTAATTAATTATTTTTATTCCCCTATTGTATCATAAAATAAATTTAATCAATTTTAATATCAAATTAATTCATTATGACTCTTTTAAAAACATATTATTATTATTTTATATAAGTTATATACAAAAAATTAAAAATATATGTCAAATATTAATATTCATGTTAAAATCTTAATTATATTAAAATATTTTTTTTAAATAATAGTATATAATTTTTTTAATTCATAGTTATAAGATTTATATTATATATATATTAAAAGTATAGTTGATAATTTGAGTAATAATTATGGTATGATTAATTAATATTATTAAAGTCATAAATTTAGATATGTTAAGTTACTAAATATAATTATAGTAACATTTAAAATATAAATGAAATCAAATTAAACTTATTTATTATATTACTCCAATATATAATCTCTACATACATTATTACCATTAAACAATATAATAAAAGATATTATATATGCATGTGCATGTCAATAATAATGTGAAAAGATAACATAAGTTATAAGGATATATTTGCATTGTCTAAAAAATTATACAATACAATTCTTATACCATAATGTATTAAAAAAATTAAAAAACGGACATACAACAGAGATATAACCTGAATCGAGAGTTATTATGTTTTTAGATTTTTTGAAAATAAAAGGCTAATTCATATTATGTTTTTAGATTTAAACACTAAAAATCTACAAACTTAATAAGAGCTAATAAAGTTAGACCCCTAATGGAACTAAAAAATGTTGGTGTAATTATTTGTTGAAATGAATGGTTCATATTATTTTGATTTTAGTATTTTTTTAAAAATTTTTCCTTCTGATCTCTACCCTCTATTATATAATTTACTTTTCATAAATACATCAGCATTCATTTCAAAAAAAAAAAAAAAAAAAACATCTGCATTCCATCAGTGTAAACTTTAGTAACAAAAAAAAAAACATTTAGTTAACTATTTATTATGTTAACTTACTCATTGATTTTCATAAGGAATGTCTTAGGTTCGAACTTCATCCTAATCAAAATTGACATAATTGTTAACCATATACTATGAATATGTTAGAGTGTTTTAAAAAAAAATATAATACAAAATTTAACATGAACCTTGATCAATTAATTAGTATCACGCATTGGACATTGATGAAATGACACACATAATTTATAGTATATATTCAACACAGATGAAAAACTATGCCTATTATCATTGTCTTTTTCGGGGAAGGAGGATTTGGTTTTGTTTTTGAAGGTGCACTACATCAGGACACTAAAATTGCAGTGAAGCACACTAGGGGACTAGATTAAATCAAGAATTCATTTATGACGGAAGTGGCAACAAGAAAAGCATGGATTACTCCAATTAATAAGGTTTTGTGTTGCAAAAATTATGATTGGGTACTATCCAGTGAGGGTGTTTCCCTCTAAAACTGCTACTGCAGCAGTTAATTTTATGAAAATTTATGTCGCAGGTCATAGTTATGCATTTTGTAATATTTACTTTTATGAAAAATTTGATAATCTTGCGTTGATATACGTCAGAATACCGAATGATACTTTGATAAATTCTGAAACACTAATTTAAAAATACGCATTGGGCATTGGACTATTCGCGCAATGCGCATGTGGTAACTAGTAATATAAAATAAGATCCTAACAACCCGTCCGTGGTTAATTTTAATAAATCTTTGTGAAATATAATATTGACACTAAACATATACATTTTTATTTCCAAAAAATTGATGTGGCAACTTAGTAAAATAAGAGATAGTGAACTTATCTGTCACAAAAAATAAAAATAAAAATTGAGTGATTATAAAATATATTTTCACAATTACAGTCATTTTAAGATGCACGGACTAGTTGCTTTTAATTGACAACAATATTTAATACTTAGTATACACCAAATTGCTTTGGCACCCACTTCAATGCAATTTTAGTGACAAACGTTGATTACAACATATCACACAATATTCATCTATTTAATTATAGTGACAAAGTCATTATAACAAATAATTACTCGTCACAATTATCATAGCATTAGTGACAAAACTTGAAGACAACACAATTATTTTCACAATTTAATAATTTTTGTTACTGAATTATAGAGCGCCATGTAACAATTTGATCACAAAAAATGACAATATGAATGACAATAATATTTGTTGTCACAATCGTATCTCATTTGTAATGGTATTGACTAATTGTATTTTTATTGACAAAAAAAATTGTCACAAATATTATTAAAAAGAGTGACCAACAACTATTTATCACAAAAAGTACCAAAATTTGTGTTAATAATATATTTTGTCCCAATTAAATACGTTCCTACCATAATTTTAATGCCGCCAATATGCACATACGTTTAGTAACAACGAATAGTGACAACTTTGGTTACAACACTATAATTTTAGTAATAGTGAATTTATTTATAAAAAATACTTAGTTAACACAATTACTATACTATTCGTGACAAAAAAAGTTATCACAATTATCACAAACAATAGTGACAAACTATTTTTTGGTAACAAAAAAGGTATTATTTGTAACTAAATTATGAAGTGTACATCATAGAAGATCAGATTTGTCATTAAATGTCTTAATTCTTGTAGTGTACTGAGTCGTTTTATTATTATAATAATAAGAGCATATGTTATTCAAAGATATAGGCATCGGTGTTATACTAATAATTGATACATCTCACTATACTTGTACGTTTGAACCATGTAAAATAGACACCAAAGATCAGATCATTCAATCTTTAACTCAATCTTGATATTCCCCTCCAATGCTCAACCAAGTTAACATGCACAAATTTATATTCTTCTTATATCTTCAAGTAGATATTCCAAGTTAGAGTAGGATGAACCACCTTGTCTCACACTTTGTTTAGCCAACTTCGAATAGTGTTGAGCCCTTTCAAGGAATTCATCTTTTTGCTCTTCCATAAGCTCCCTCACCATCTTCTCAATTATGACTCGGTCGCAAGTGTCCTTCATGTCTAGGCCAACCTTCCATACCTCCGCAACATACCTACTATTCACTTGCTGGTCCCCGTGGACTGGCCAACCTATCATCGGCACTCCAGCAACTATGCTCTCCAGAATTGAATTCCACCCACAATGAGTTAAAAATCCAGCAACAGCAACGTGGCCTAGCACTGCACGTTGCGGAGCCTACTCCACAACGCAAGTCTTTTCTCGAGAACCGGTCAAGATTTCTGCCGGAATCTCCCCATCGGTCACTAACAGCGAGTTCAAAGACCACAAGAAGCGCTGCCCACTGTTCACCAACCCATGCCAAAACTCCACCAGGGTTTCTCTGCTCACCATTGTTAGGTTACCAAAGCTTACGTACAACACCGACTTCGGGGGCTGATTCTCGAGCCAATCCAAACACCTTTTACTGTTATCATCATCGTCGGACATTGTAGCGTGAATACTACCACCACTGGCAGCAAGGAATTCATGGAGTGGTCCGACGGCGTAAACGTTGGACATAATGGTCGGCATTTGGTCGAGTATCGGCCCCTCCAGCTCATGGAAGGTGTTGATAATGTGATGTTTGGCTTGGGTGTAATTCTGGGCGAGTTGATGGAAGTTTTGCATAATGGGATCATTGTCAATATCATTAATAAGTCGTAAATGTGCAGGGAGATCACGGAATCTAAGGAAACCTTCCATGCCCTTAACGCTGGTGATTAGCATATCCATGTCCCTTCCTAATGTTTTCTTGCACCCAAATCATTAATTAGTAAAGACAATTATTTCGAAGCATTATTTAAGCACACATGACACAAATAGGAAAATGCCAAATGAGCACCCCACCGACATCTCAATTAGTTTTTATGTGGTAGATTGTGAACAAAGACACATGATCAAGTTCTGACTCTCAATGTAAGAGTTACATGCAATGTAGTAGTGACATTCTTTTGGACATCAGACATTCATCCTCCACTTAATGACTTGCTGAATCACCATTATTTACCCTCTACTATCTTTATTGGGTTGGGATGTGAGATGAGATAATTTTGCTTTTTTGTGGACAAAGAAAAAGCCAGTTGATATTAAGTAAAATAATAAATTTGTCACTAATAATAACAACAACAACCACAACAACAACAACAACAATAATAATAATAATTATTATTATTGAAAATTTGTGAGAATCTTGTGATGGTTTAGAACATAAATTGTAACAAAAAGATTTTTAATGCAGTTCGGGATGGAAATTCCTAATCTACGAGGCACTTCTTGTAATATTGAGAAATAGCTGAATCCACTATTAGAGTTTGGGAACACTTTTACAGAATATAATCTAGATCTCAGTATCTCTCTCAATTGAAACATAACTCTAGTACTACTCCTAAGTGAAATTCTCTCTTCTCAATACTTCTCAGCTCTCAGTACAGAAGATAGGGAATTGAATGCTTGTCTTTCCTGACTAGCAGTGGGCTTTGATATGTCCTAGTTTGTGACAGTAGTAGCATTTGATTTTCTGTTTGTTGTGGTGTTGAAAGTGATGTTCTGACATCATTTCATATATATACTCAGTTCTGCCTGTGTGATTTCTTTCGAGTTTTGAGCTTCTCAATTCTGCATATCTTTTTAATTTCTCTATTTCTTTGACTAGTTCAATTATTTTTTCATGAGATTCATGTAGCTCTTCTTGAGTTTCTTTGTGAAAGATTTTTTCTCTTTCTTTTTTCGCTTTCCAGTACATGATTTTCCTGTATGAGATTACAGTTTACCTTGATAAGCTCTTCCCATTTTGATTTCAATTATAAGCATGAATTGTATAGTCCATCCATGTTATCTTTGCTTTCTGTTTCCACCCCTTTTTTCAATTCTTCTATTTCTTTGATCAATTCTCACTCCTTTTATTGAAAAGTTTTCATTTTTCTTTTATTTCTTCGTGAAGATGTTTTTCTCTTTCTTTTTCACTATCTAAGACACGAATATCTTGCGTGATGATGCATTTAATTCTGATGAGTTCTTCAAATTTTGATTTCAGTTGTATATATGTATCTAGAAGGTCTTCCACATCGTTTTTTGTTTCACTATCTTCATCATGATTGGTAGGAAATGCTACAAAGTTTGAATTGTCTCCTTTGCTTTCTGAGATATTGTTGTAGGTTTTGTTCTTCATTTTTAGATATGTTAATCATTTGGATTGAATGTGCCCATATCCCTTGCATTCGTAGCATTGTACTCCATCTAGGTTGTAAACAAGTTTCCTTTTGGCAATATCAATTTTCTGTCTAAGCGTGATCATATTTTCGTTGTTTGAAGTTTCTCTAATTTTGTTCATGAGTTTATTGAATTTTTCAACAATTATATTGAGTTTTTTTGTTAGCTGGATTATTGATTCTTCTATGTCTTTGATCTCATTATCTGAATGTGGTTCTTGTCTTATTTTGAATGCTACTCCTTTAGTACTAGGCTTTCCAAACATCTCTAGCTCATACGTTTGGAGATTTCATATTAGATCACTCAGTTTATATGTGTTTAGATCTCTACTCGAATGGCTGTGACTTTCATCATGAATCTTTCGGGTAAGGAACGGAGTACCTTTTTTACTAGTTTAGCCTCAAGGATAAGGTATCTTAGAATATACGTGGCTCTAGAATGTCAAGCATCCTTGCACTGAATTGAGTGAAATTTTCTTCTTTTTCCATTTTCAGATTTTTGAATTGTGTCTAGACCATTTATAGTTTGATTGCTTTACTATGGAATTTCCTTCATGATGATTACATAAGATTTCCATGTTGTTTTGGCTATATTTGTTGCACAAATCAGTTTGAAATTTCCATCATTCATGACTTTGGAGTTGTAACCATCTTGCTTGATTTCTTCATCTGTCCAGTCCTATTCGTCGTTCATATTTCCCTTTTTGTCTGTTGGAGGACTTCATCCCTTTTTCTACCGCTCGCTAGACTCTTTCTTCTTGGGAAAAATATTCTCATTCATGCTTTCCAGTAAGAATAATTTTCACTTTGTAGGACATGGGTCTACTGTTGATAATCCTTTTCTGGGAAAATCTTTCACGTTTCTACTAGTAACTTAAGAAACCTTGCTCTGATACCAATTAAAAATTTGTGAGGATCGTGAGATGGTTTAGAACATAAATTGTGACAAAAAGATTTTTAACGTAGTTTGCCATAATGGTCCTACAGTCGTGGACCACTACGCCATCATAAGATCTAACAATACCTTAGTCTGCTAAATTTGGTATTACTATTACTCTTTACCCACCTCCACTAGGAATGACAATTTTACCCGTACCCAATGGGTTCCTCGCATCCTCGCCCCTACGCGTTTTAAAATACCCGCACAATTTGAATAATGGGTGCGGGTATGAGGGTAATATCTATACCCGCGCGAGTATGGGACGGGTGCGGGGGAGGTATCCCCGCCCCCCACCCTCACCCGCACTTGCACTTATATATATTGTTATTTTCATTTATTATATAAGTTTATATATATTTTATAATTAAAACGCATAATGAATTAAACTTCTTAGTTTTTTATTTATGAAATTTGAATAAGAACAACACAAATAACATAATGAGTAATCACTTAATACAATTTATACTACCAACATAATTTTAGGTCCAATTAAGTACTAACTTCATTGGCACTTATTAAATTTTAGAGCTTTTGTTCAAATTTATAAAAAAATCTATGTGATAATTAGAATTATAGTATAAAATTTTTATTAAATTTAAATCTAATATTAATAATTAGAGTTACGAGTTGGATATTACCCGCACCTACAAAATCTCCGCGAAGACAGACATGTGGTATGAATTTCATCACCCACCCAACACCACTCGGCCCCATTGCCATTCCTAGCTCCACCCAACATTATTTAAAAAAAAAAAAAAAAAAAAAAAGCGCGCACGCAGCAGAGGAAGCACTGACCTTTTAGGGGAAGCTCGCCGGCCGGAATGAGTTGAGGGAGAGATAAGCACGTCCAGTTGGCGGAAGCGCTTACGCAATGAAACTGAAAAATGGGAAGCCCAACTTCCTCCGCCATTCCAACCGCGAAAGTCAATAGCCCGTCGGCAACGACGCACCTCGGCGGCGCAGCCTCCTCCTCCTTCTGCAGGTTGACGACCATCTCTTTCACTAGTGGCGTCGCCGTGGCCGCTAAAGAACCGAACACCTCAGGCACGCCGCGCGGGTGGTCGTCGGGGAGCCCGTCGGGAATATACTCGAAGCGAATGCTGCCGCCGGCGAAGTGGGATTTGAGATCAGAGAAGCCTGAGAAGGCATTCCGAGCGTGGACTGTCATGACAAAAGTGACACTGAGATGGGATTGACAAAGGAGTTGGGCAAAGTTGAGCATGGGGTGGATGTGACTTGGAACTGGAAAAGGGAAAATGATTACATGAGGAGGAAGACGATGAAGATAAGGTTTGAGAGGAGCAGATTCGTAATCCATCAATGAAATACTATGCTGGATCAATATGTAGAGGACTAGAGGGAAAGCTAATTATTATAACGGGGGAGTGAGGTGGGATTGAGACGTAAACTTAACGTTGGGACTAAACGCCCCACATCCCTTATAATTGAGAGGTAGAAATGGATACAATCATAATTGAGGGACGAAGTTATCAATATGAGTATAACTTAAAAAGTAAATATGTCATTTTTCCTTATTCTTAATTACATTTTAATTTTAATTAGTGTTAATACCACATATAGAACGTAGGTCTCTAACTATTGGGATAATCTTTTTAGTCTTCAACTTTCAATTCCATCAATACACATACTTTAACTTTCATTTTTTTTTTACCACAAATAGTCATCATCTGTTAGGATTTCTGTCGAATGGGTGTTAAATGTAAGAGTATTATCATTTCCTCATGTAATAATATATGTCCACTTTCCTACTTGGAATGACCACGGTTCAGCTTGAACCGAATTAGATACTATAGCAACCGTACCAAATCAAAACTGTAAGGACGATTCCAGTTAGGTTCAGAACAGAACTCAAAAGATTACAGTTTTGCTTTATTAAAATTAGGAACCAAAACAGTCGAATCTAGTTTCGGAACGGGTATAGTTTTGATTCCCAACCGGAAAAAATAAAATAAAAAATTAATTATTGAATTTGGATTATGTTTTTATTTATGATGGTGGAATTTTCTAATTTAATCTAAAGGGGGTGTATTCAAGACATTTAATAACTTTTATAGATTTTAAAAGTCTGCTGGTATACGATCCAAACTTTTAAATAGTCTTTAAAAGATGTTGGTATGCGACTAAGACTTTTAAAGACTTTTTAAAAGTCAACTGGTATTCGCTTCAAACTTTTATAGAGTTTTTAAAAGTTTATTAATATTTAAAAACTTATTAACTTTACTCTATAAGATTATGATTTCTATAAACTTTTTCATTAAAAATTCAAATAGTTTTTTTTTTTTTTCTGGGAAAGAAATGAGGGGTTAACCCGGGGTACAAATTCAAATAGTTGATACCAATATTAGTACTTTATATTAAATTCTTAGATTTATTTAAATTTTAGATGTTTATATTATTGTATAATAATAACAACAACAACAACAACAACAATAATAATAATATAAACCATTTTTATAAATTTGATATTTATATTTTAGAAAATAACTTATATATTACTCCAATATATAACGTCTATATATTATTACTATGCCTGCATGTGCATCTCAGTTAGTCATAAGGGTGAAGTTTTAGAAGTATACATATTATTACCATGGAAGAAGATAAAGAAAATATATGGTGGATACATGTGTATGGTAATAATAGTTGAAAAAAATAGCGAAATTTATAATGGAGAAGTATTTTTGACCAAAATATTATATAATACAACTTTGATAACATAATATATAAAAGATAAAAATAAAAATATGACAAAATGAAATGTATAACTTTCATTTACATGTACTGACCTCTCCATGTGGGAGGTCATGAGATTGAGCATCAGTGGAGGCGTTGTTGACTCTTTGTGATTCATTAGATTGAGAAAGTAGATTTGAACAGATACTATTTTTTTGGTGAGGATTTGAACAGATACTATAGTGTAATAAAGTTAGTAGCATTTAAAAAAATAATAATTTTTAAAATATATATTTCAACTATTTTTTTTAAAAAAATAAAAATCTCTCAATCATTACATTTATATGCATTAAATTCTTTGTCGGGAAAAGGAGAGGCGGAAAATTAAGGATCAAAAGAAGTTGAATTTACTCGTAATAGTATGTCAGAATAAGTGGAAGTAATACTCACAACGTAGCTCTGTTTGACAGAGCTTGTTTAGTAGCTTATATCTTATTTTAAGCTACTAATAAGTTATAAGCTCTGTTGGGTAATGTTTTCAAAATAAGCTCTTAGCTTAAAATAAGAGCTTATTTTGAAACGCTACCTTATGTAGCGTTTCAAAATAAGCTCTAACTTTTTTTCCATTTTTATCTTTATTATTTTAAAGAAATGACATAATTTACTCTTCCCAATTAAAATCCTTTTCTCTTATCCTTTATCCGCAACTTTTACCGCAATTATTATTATTATTATTATTAGATTTACAACAATATTGCTACTTCATTATGAGATGCTAGATCATGATTATGCTAATAGTTTTATTTTAAAATGTTAATTTTTTTAAAAGACAAAATGTTAAATTTTAATATGTAAACAAACTAATTTAAAATTTATAAAGATATCTTTTTTAGTCTTTTTACATTTATCAGCTTATCAAACAACTAATTTTACCAAACACTTCCAATCATAACAGCTAGCTTAACAACTCTTCAGTTTTCAGCTTCGAGCTTATAGCTTTTCAGCTTTCAGCTCTTAGCTTATAGCTTTTCAACTAGGTTTGCCAAACAGAGCCGTAGTGTATGTCGTGTTGCACAGTAGCAGGCAGAAGAGCCACGGTGGGTGCTGTTTTGGTTGCCTCGGACGGCGATTTCATTCTCCCCTCTTATTACAGGAAATTTGGCGTGCAAAGAGGTGTTATCTTGACTCCCACCAAATGCTGTTGAAGTGACTAATTTCCCGGAAATTAGGAGGCGTTGAAAAGTCAGTCGTCTTTGCCCAGGTGTGAACTGCAGACGGCATCCGTTTTCTTGCAGAAGTGCTCATGCGCTCTTGGCCCAGACAACGTCCTAGGCGTAGGGGAGATCGGGTCCTCTCCAACCAGCATCTTCCAACCTGGTGAGGATCGTGATGTGTCTTCTGTAAAACTACTCATTGATTGTTCCACTCTTCACCATTATTTATCGTCTTCTTGTTTTGAACTCTTCTCCTATGTCGGCTTCGCTATTAATGATTGTAGAGTTATTATGTCTTCTTTCATGGATTGCTCAGTTTAGTTCCTAGATCGTCAAATATTGTTGCTCACTCTAGCTAATATATGTAGCCTATTCTTAGACTACCTCTTTGTACTGAGACTTCGTCTCTCATAACTTTTATCTCCGTTTCTTTACCGTAATCCATTACACTTTTGTTTGCTTTCAAAAAAAAAAAAAAAAAAGAAGAAAAAAAACTATTAACCTCCGACCATAACTTTTATTTTAGTGTTGTTTTAATACGTGTACATTAAATAGTTAATAATATTATAATTATTAATATCCTAATAATAATAAGAGCAACACATCTGTTTAGAATTTATTTATTTATTTATTTATTATTATTATTATTTTTTTTTGCAATGACACTAGGATAGAAAGAGAGGAGGGAAGAAGGAAAAAAAAGTTTGACATCCCAAAAAAAATAGAGACCTAACGCGCCAAGCTGGCACTTGGATTGCACGCGCTCAGGGCACGGATGTGCGCGAGTTTCGCGAAAGGAAAGACTATTTTATCCTTTTCTCTCTTCAATGAGACCTACAAAAAATATACTATTGCAGGAGAAAAATTACCATAAAAAGTTAAAAACCATCAACAAATTAAAATGCCATATTTCATTTTTTAATATGACAAAAATCACCAAAAAACCATTAGTGTGGTTACTCTAATAATAGCTAATGGAAAATGTTACATGTTGCTGGTACACCAATCATATCTCATGTTTAAATAAAAATTTCTCACTTCTAAAAGTACCGCAAATCATATTAAGATCTTATCATTATTAAATTTTCAAGTTTATAGAAATTATAAAATGAACATTGCCATTATAAACTAGACCCTATATATATATATATATATATATATATATATATATACCTTCTACTTTTGATGAACCCTGATAGACACATTTAATTGTTTATTTTTGTGACGAGGTAAACCAACATAAGTGACTTATAAAGAAAGTCAATAAATCGCTCTCGTTATGAGTCAAATTAATATTCTTCTTATATCTTCAAGTAGATGTTCCAAGTTAGAGTAGGATGAACCACCTTGTCTCACACTTTGTTTAGCCAACTTCGAATAGTGTTGAGCCCTTTCAAGGAATTCATCTTTTCGCTCTTCCATAAGCTCCCTCACCATCTTCTCAATTATGGTTCGGTCGCAGGTGTCCTTCATGTCTACGCCAACCTTCAATACCTCCGCAACGTACCTACTATTCACTTGCTGGTCGCCGTGGACTGGCCAACCTATCATCGGCACTCCAGAAACTATGCTCTCCAGAATTGAATTCCACCCGCAGTGAGTTAAAAATCCAGCAACAGCAAAGTGGCCTAGCACTGCACGTTGCGGGGCCCAGTCCACAACACAAGTCTTTTCTCCAGAATCGGTCAAGATTTCTGCGGGAATCTCCCCATTGGTCACCAACAACGAGTTCAAAGACCACAAGAAGCGCTGCCCACTGTTCACCAAACCATGCCAAAACTCCATGAGGGTTTCTCTGCTCACCATTGTTAGGGTTCCAAAGCTTACGTACAACACCGACTTCAGGGGTTGATTGTCGAGCCAATCCAAACAGTTTTTGCTGTTACGATCATCACCATTGGACATTATAGCGTGAATACTACCGCCATTGGCAACAAGGAATTCATGGAGTGGTCTGACGGCGTAAACAACGTTGGAAATCATGGTCGGCATTTGGTCGAGTATCGGCCCCTCGAGCTCTTGAAATGTATTGATTATGTGATGTTTGGCTTTGGTGCAATTCTGCGAGACTTGAAGGAAGATTTGCAGAATGGGATCGTTGTCAATATCATCAAGTCGGTAATGTGCAGGGAGATCACGGTATCTAAGGAAACCTTCCATGCCCTTAACGTTGGTGATTGGCATGTCCATGTCCCTTCCTAATGTTTTCTTGTACCCAAATCATTAATTAGTAAATGTAATTGTTGAGTTTGTCTCATATATGGATTAGGAATATGAGTTTTGTCTCATACTAGGAATAGGAGTGAAACAGGTAGACCTATTGTACATGGATTAGATGCCTATAAATATATTGGTTGTATCCCAAAGGGGCCGTGTCACCACCATAACCATCACTATGAATATAAGAATTGTTTCACTCCCGTGGATGTAGGCACATTGCCGAACCACGTAAATCTTGTCTTCTTTACCCTTTTTGCCATTATTATTGTTTCTTGTTCTTGTTAATCTCAACAAATTGGTATCAGAGCATAGTTGATCAGATAGCTAGTTCAAGTATAAAATTCAATGTATCAAAGTTTGATGGTATAGGGAATTTTGGGTTATGGCGGTCTAGGGTAAAGGATTTGTTGGCATATCAGGGCCTTCTGAAAACCTTGAGGGCGGAAAATCCAGCAAATCTGGAAGAGGCTGATTGGAAGGAGTTGAAGAAGCAGGAAGCTACGGACGTGGTACATGCTGATGAATCTTATTATAGTGAAGGTGATGTTCTAGCGGTAACTAGTAACAAGTTCAAACATTGTTTGGACTTGTTGGGCATTTCTAGATGCTAGATGAGAAGGTGGTGAGAGGCGCTGTGGTGTTGGGCAGCGCGGATACCAGGAGGGGTTGCGGACCTGGTATGGGTCGGGCTTGTCATGAGTCACGATTGGTATGGGCAAGTATGACACTGGTATGGGCTGGGCTTGTCATTAGTCTCGGCTGGTATTGGTATGGGCCAGTATGGCACTGGTATGGGTCGGGCTTGGCATGAGTCACGGCTTGTATGGGTTGGGCTTGTCATGAGACATGGACCTGGTACGGGTCAGGCTTGGCATGAGTCACGGCTGGCATGGATGGACGCTTCAGGATGAAGCGGTTCGTGAACATGCACTGGGAACGTTTGATGTTGCGTGGTGCGTGTTGCTAACCAGTGGCAACTACTGGTTAGTGAAGCATTGGGCAAGGCACACGGGTTTAGTGTGACTTTGCAGGGGCGCTGTTGTGTTGGGGCAGCGTGGATACCAGGAGAGGATATGGACCTGGTATGGGCCAGATGCAGGAGGTCAGCTGAACGTGCAGTTAGAAAGATGAGAATATGCTTGAGGGCAAGCATAGTTTTAGTGTGGGGGAATTTTGATGAGCATATTTTATACCTTAATTTAAATAAGATTTTATAGGTTAATTTTATTATTTATATTTTATATTCCATTATTTTTAGTATAATTTGTTATATTAGGTTTAGAGAACTTAATTAGTGAATAAAATAATAAAGAAAGCTTATTAAGCCAAGTTAGATAAATTAAAATATTATATTGCTTTGGGTCCCACTTGTTAATAATCCGTAAATCATACTTTGCTTCCCTTTGTTTTCCTGTACGTATAATTAGTATTATATTCTATGTTTTGTTTGGTTTACGGCAGGTTGCAGACGCGAGACGGAGAAGGCACAGAGCTTCGGATCAAGCGACTTCGACGGGTCTTCTTTGCGCAATTATTGATGAAATTAACCATCTTTTGAATTTGAAGATGAATTTGTTGAAGGAATTGGCTATTGATGCGGTAAGAGCCTGAATTTTAGGGAAGATTGTTGATTTGAAACCCTATAAAAGGAGAGCTATTCTGATGTATTTGAGGCAGATTGTTCCTTCTAAATTCTTATATTTTAGAATAGTTTTCTCTATGTCTAGCTAGATTTTCTTAATCTGATTCAAGAGATTTGAAGTTTTAGTTGTGAATTTAGGGAGGTTCTACTTCAATTAATTTATTGGATTCATGTACTTCCTGTTCTTTCAAAGTTAATTTTACAGGAAGACTGATAGTAAATTAAATTGACAACTTGGTTTATTATTTTTTATCCTATTGCTATCTATGAGTTTATGATCCGTAATTGTCATAAACGATTAGACCGAGTAGCTTGTATTAATTTTATTAATGTGATTAGTACACGAATGACAGGAAGACTAAGTTGCAGGTTGTAGCTATCTCAATCTGTGATTTAGGCTTAGTTGTTTTCCATTAAAGTGTAATGATGTTATTGGGTGAATATGGAACGCTATCGTCCCCAGTTTATTCAATAACAATTGTTGGTTTGAATGCTTAATTTGAATCAATTAATTTAGGGAGAACAAAGACTAGTTACGGCTATCCTAATTAGTCTTTGGCTAAGTACTTAAATCTAATTTAATTTTTAAGAGCCGATGATCTGAGTCACATCTTTAAAATTCATTTCCCCTTGAATCAGAATTCAACATCTCTGAACTTGTTATTAATTATTGTTTATTTTATTTATTTTATTTATTCTTCTCAAATCCCCCAATTTTCCCTACTTTGAGTCATTTTATTTTAATTAAAGAAACGAAATTCATTAGTTCTCTTGGGATTCGACCTGGTCTTGCCACTACTACAAATTAGTGGAGTGAGCCAGTATTAAATTTGTAGGGCTTCGACAACCCTGCCAAATTTTGGCGCCATTGCCGGGGAACTAACATCGTTTCTTGAATTTTTTATTTATTTATTTTTTTTCTTTGTGATTGTTTCTATTGTCCTTAGTGTTGCATGACTCGTTCCTCTCATTCGGGAGAATTGCAATATATCCCTGAGATTGAGAAAGTCGCAAGGCAACTAAGGAAAGAAACAAAGCAAAGAAATAGCTCCTCGAGTTCTGAAAAGGTAAATTCAACCTGTGATCCAGTAAACGAGGAGGTTGCAAGTAAAATGGCTGAACCAAATAATAGAACACTTAGGGAGTTAGCTGCACCGGATCTAAACCAACAACCTCTATGCATAACAATACCAAATCTTGAGGTTGATTTCGCTTTAAAATCTGGTTTGATCCATTTACTTCCTATTTTTCGAGGTTTAGCTGGTGAAGACCCACATAAACACTTGAAAGAGTTTCAAGTAGTTTGTGCAGGTATGAAACCACGTGGGGTGACTGATGAGCATATAAGTCTTAGAGCATTTCCATTTTCATTAAAAGATAAAGCAAAAGATTGGCTCTATAATCTTTCCCCTAATTCAGTTAACACGTGGAATGATGTGAAAAAATTATTTCTAGAAAAATTCTTCCCTGCATCTAGGGCAACTAATATTAGGAAGGAAATATATGGGATAAGACAATGTACAGGTGAAACATTGTATGAGTATTGGGAAAGATTCAAGGAGTTGTGTTCTAGCTGTCCACACCATCAAATCTCAGACCAACACTTGATACAGTACTTTTATGAAGGGCTGTTACCTACGGATAGAAGTATGGTAGATGCAGCTAGTGGTGGTTCTTTGGCTGACAAGACACCTACGGATGCTAGACAATTAATATCAACCATGGCAGAAAATTCTCAACAATATGGGACACGTGCGGATGGATCTATTCGTAGAGTTAACGAGGTAAGTACTTCTCAACTTAAAAATAAAATTTCAGATTTGACTACTCTTGTGCGTCAAATGGCTGTAGGACAGATGCAATCTACGGGAGCATGTGGAATATGTTCATTTGTCGGGCATCCCACAGACATGTGCCCAACATTGCAAAATCCAAATCAAGAGTTGAATGCAATAGGGGGATTTCCTGGTCGACCCAACCGAAAATATGATCCCTTTTCAAACCAGTATAATCCCGGATGGAGAGATCATCCAAACTTGAGCTATGGGAATCAAGGAGCGCAACCAAGGTTTCAAAATCAGAATTTTAGACAATTCCAAACACCTCAGCAATCTCAACCCCAAGCTTCAAATTCAGGTATGTCTTTAGATGAAATTGTTAAAGCACTTGCTAATAACACTCAACAGTTTCAACGAGAAACAAGAGCAAGTATTCAACAATTGGGCAATCAAGTTTCTCAATTAGCCACATCTGTTAGCAAGTTGGAAGCCCAAGCTTCGGGGAAACTACCATCACAAACGGAGGTAAACCCTAAAGAAAATGTAAATGCAATCACATTGAGGAGTGGTAAGCAACTTCAGCCTGAATCTCCATTATCAGTGGAAGAGGAAAAAGAAGGAAAATCAAAGGAGGAAAGTGAGTCTACGGCTAATGAAAAATCCAAGGTAAGTTCTGAATCTTCTTTTGGTCAATATGATTCATCTCTACCCCCTTTTCCTTCAAGGTTAGCAAAATCAAAAGAAGAAGAACATGAAAATCAGATTTTGGAAACCTTTAGAAAGGTAGAAATCAACATCCCCTTACTAGAAGCCATAAAACAAATTCCTAAGTATGCAAAGTTTCTAAAGGAACTTTGTACCAATAAGAGGAAGTTGAAGAGTAAGGAGACCATCATATTGGGTAAAAATGTTTCAGCCATGATAAGTAATGATCTACCTAAAAAGTGCAAGGATCCTGGTATGTTCACCCTACCCTGTATAATTGGTAATAAAGAGATTAAACGTGCCATGTTAGATTTAGGTGCATCAATAAATGTCATGCCATTTTCCATTTATCAAGCTTTAAATATAAATTCTTTGCAAGGAACTAGAATAGTTGTTCAATTAGCTGATCGTTCTTGTGTGCATCCAGTTGGAGTCGTAGAAGATGTTTTAGTGCAAGTTAATGGACTGGTTTTTCCTGTTGATTTTTATGTTTTGAAAATGAATGATGATGCAATAGATCAATCAACTCCAATTTTGTTAGGTAGACCATTTATGAAAACTGCTAAAACAAAGATAGATGTTGATAAAGGTATTCTTTCTGTTGAGTTTAATGGAGAAATTGCTGAATTTAATATTTCTGATGCAATGAAGTATCCTGATGATTACCATTCTCTTTATCATGTGGATGTAATTGATTCAATAGTGCAAGATGTTTTTGAAGATAGTTTTGCTGAAAATTTGTTTGATTTAGAAGCTGAATTTGATTTAGATGAGTTTGTTGATTCTTCTTGTGAAGTTTTATCAGCTGTAATATCTGGTTTAAATTCTGCAAATGCTGATTTTTCTTTAACTC